CCCCAAAACCCCAAAACCCCAAAACCCCGCACTTAAGAAATAAAGTTGAATAAGTTTTGGTAAGAATTAAAAGATTTTTGAAAATTTGATTTTAAAATGGAGGATTAAGTTATATCTTAGGAGGTGGAAAAGAATGAAACAATGATTGATCAAAATATTGAGGCTGAAATTCAATCAGAACCAGGCTATGAAGACTTAGTGGGATAAAGAGTCATCTTAAAGCAAAATGTTGGAAGTATTAGATATGCAGGAAAGTTGATCAACAATCCAAAGGCAGGAAATGATATTTGGTTGGGAATAGAATGGGATGAAGAAGGTCACGGAAAGCATATGGGAAATGTGGATGGTGTCTAATACTTCTTTTGTGAATTCCATAAACTATCACCAAACTATGAAGGATAGTAGACTTAATGCTGCTCCTTTATTAGATATGGAAAAATTCAAATTGGGGGTACTGATATAAGGCAGGCAATTGTTGAAAAATATAGGCCAGATGATATGATGACTGAAGAAGAGAAGGAAAAATTGAAATAAAATGAGAACGAAGAGATCTATGTTAACACTGATATGAAGGGTAGAAAGAAGATTGAGGTCTTGGGGTAAGATCAATCTTATCAATGGAGATCAGATGTGAGATAGAACTATGAAATTGCTTTGGAATGTTTAAAAATATCAGACTTAGGTCCAAGAGGAACTCTGAATAGTTTAATTCCCTCAACTATGTATCTCTACCTTGACAAAAATCTACTTCATTCATGGGATTAGTATTTCTAGATAACTAGAGAGTTGAGATACTTAAGGATTCTTGTTTTGACTGGCAATAAGTTCAAAAGAATTGACAAGAATTACTTGGCTGATAAAAAGGTAGAGGAGATGATTAACCCATTCCTTCACGAATTAGTCCTGATAGATATGGCTTTGGATTGGAGTTAGATTGATGCACTAGCCCCTACTATGATATACATAGAAGAGCTTCACCTAGTTAGAAGTCAATGTAATAAGATATGTAGCGAGTACCAGATTAGCAAGGAGCATTTTAAGAATCTCAGGTTTATAAACTTAGAGTAGAATGGGATTGAATCTTGGGATGAAATAGTAGGATTCAGAAACCTCCCTGGTTTAAGAAGAATCACAGTAAGCAAGAACAAGATCAGAGAGATTTATTATAAACCTGGCTTTAATGATCTTTACATGGTAACAATGGAGGACAACTTGATAAACAGCTGGAGATCTTTTGATGCTCTTAATGAATTCAAGAGGATCACTCATTTGAGGTGCAGTGGCAATCCCATCTATGAATAGGCAGGCACTCTTTCTAGATAATAAGTAACAGCGAGACTCTAATTCCTAAAGAATCTGAACGGTAGTGCAATTGAGGAAGGAGAAAGGAAAGACGCTGAAATTATATATATGAAGAAATCTTATGAAGACTACATCAGAGAAAACAAGATTGAAGTTAAGCTGGAACTAAATGATGAAAATTTAATGAAACATATGATGGAAAATTAACCTCGTTGGTATGAGCTTGTAGAAATATATGGAAACCCAATCGATATGGTGTCCCTCAAGTAAGACGCTAAGAATATTGCTTCAACTAGTGCTAAGATAAAACTCATTTCTTAATGTACTTCAACAAACGGCAAAACACTTGAGAAAAAACTTATTACTTCAATGACTGTGGGCGCACTTAAAGCTATGTGCGCTAAATTATTCAAGATAGAGGTCATTAGATAGTCTCTCATTTACAAGGAAGAGTCATGTGAACCCTATGAACTAGACGAAGACCTAAGATAGTTGTCCTTCTATTCAATCAGAGATGGAGGTGAAATTGCTATTATTGAAAAGTAATGAAGATTATTGATTAAGTCCCAAGTAGTGATTAATAATTACTAAACTTAAATACTTAATTAAAGGTCATCTCGTTAATCCCTCTATCTTTCATCATTCACAATCAAGTCTCCTTCATTCATGGCTAAATCATTGTGATCATATTCCCTTGAGTAGTGGTATAATATCCTATTAATTTTTACAATTCCTTGTCTGTCAAGTCAGTCTGCTGCAGTCTCTCATTGACTTGCTTTTTGAAGTCAGGCTTCTTGTATTATTGCTTAAGAGAGAAGAGCTAAATAATAATGTCTCTCACCTGCTGCTCCTACTCATTTTCAAGCTTTCTAAGGAATATTCTATCCCCCATTGATACTGTGTACTCTACCAATATATTATTAAACTGATCCTAATCTTGCACTGTGATCTTGCTATCCTTTATTGAGGTAATTAGCTTGGGGTAGTTGCTGACCTTATTCTCTGTAAAATGTTTGACCAGACATTCTATCAGCTAGAACATTTGCTTCTTCATTTATTATTCTTGCTTAGTCGAGATCAGCTGCTCTGGGAGTTTCTAATCTGCCTAGTCTCTGTAGAACTTAAGCTCTTAGTACTTCTTACATTCGTGTTCAAGTTTGTCCCAAGATTCCTTTATTTGCTTGTTGTGCTTCGGTTTCAAATATTCATGCAATTTAGAATTGCCATAATTCTTGAAAGTCAAGATTTCATTTAGTGAATTTGTAACTTCCTATATGTGCAATTTTAATTCACCAAATTGAGTCTTTGTCTCCTTTTTTATCTAGTCCAGAGTAATTTGCCCATTACGATAGATTTGATTAATGAGGTATTCTCTTAGAGCTACTTTTCTTTTGTCGACAGTAAAGTCGTACATGTGATCGCTCTTTAGTATTAGCATTCAATAATCTTTTTCAATATAGCAATACTTATTCACAAGCAAGTCTATCAATTGATCCTAAGGGAGCATATCAATATTGGCAAGTTTACAAGCAGCAAGCATTATTCTTACTAATCTTTCCAAGTCTATTATGCCTGCCTTTTTCATTATCAATTCCAGCATTTTAATTGGGCTCAGCTGTGCTAGTACCTCAATCGTTAAATTGCTTCCCTTATTTTTAAGAATAGATGCAGTTGAAAAGTCCTCAGTCTTATCAAAAGGTGCAAGCAGATCCTGAAATTCGTGACTTGAGATCAGAGACCATTGATCATCACCTTACTTCTCAATAATCATATCATGGTCTCCATTAATATTTTTCCTTGAACTTTTGAATAAGCAGAGTTTTTCAAGCTCCATTTCACTCTCGTAGCTATTCATGCTAAAATACTTCAAATCTTTCCACTCTTTATTACTCTCATTAATCATTTACTGCATGCCTGATTGCTCGGTTCCTACTCTTTGTATTTTGGCTTAAGCTGCTCTTTTTTCTGCCTAAATTTAAGCACTATTAATTAGTCTTAACTGTCTTTCTTTGTCAACATGATCGAAAGAGGGTCTTAGCTGATGAAAAGATGTTAATGGAGTTAGAAGGAATTAGTTGTCTTTCATTACTCCAATACAATAGTTAGGATTTACTTATTAGCTATCGATATCAACCTTTTAAGACTCTAGATAGTGTGAAGAAATCTAAATTCCAAATAAGATTAGAAATTAGTTACTCTGTGATCAACTGCATTGGTATCATAGTTTTAAGAATCCTTTTTGAGTCTGTAATGCAACTTGAAGTTTTCATCAAATTAGTCCTTGGCTTTTGCTTATATTTCCAGAGCTTTACCAAATTATTAGGCTTGGTTCAAAGTCATATTGGACAATCCCACTTCTATCTTAAATAAATCTCCCTGATCTCCGTAAGTTCTATAGCTTGGCCTCAATGGATATTGAAGGAGATGGATATGATCTTTAAGATTACCAGCTAAGCAGACATCGAATTCAGCGATAAGCTAATATGATTTTATCAATATTATTGTTCTTACCTCGTCTTCCTCTTGATTGTTTTAGTTTTCCATTATAATGGAAAACTAAAACAATCAAGAGGAAGACGAGGTAAGAACAATAATATTGATAAAATCATATTAGCTTATCGCTGAATTCGATGTCTGCTTAGCTGGTAATCTTAAAGATCATATCCATCTCCTTCAATATCCATTGAGGCCAAGCTATAGAACTTACGGAGATCAGGGAGATTTATTTAAGATAGAAGTGGGATTGTCCAATATGACTTTGAACCAAGCCTAATAATTTGGTAAAGCTCTGGAAATATAAGCAAAAGCCAAGGACTAATTTGATGAAAACTTCAAGTTGCATTACAGACTCAAAAAGGATTCTTAAAACTATGATACCAATGCAGTTGATCACAGAGTAACTAATTTCTAATCTTATTTGGAATTTAGATTTCTTCACACTATCTAGAGTCTTAAAAGGTTGATATCGATAGCTAATAAGTAAATCCTAACTATTGTATTGGAGTAATGAAAGACAACTAATTCCTTCTAACTCCATTAACATCTTTTCATCAGCTAAGACCCTCTTTCGATCATGTTGACAAAGAAAGACAGTTAAGACTAATTAATAGTGCTTAAATTTAGGCAGAAAAAAGAGCAGCTTAAGCCAAAATACAAAGAGTAGGAACCGAGCAATCAGGCATGCAGTAAATGATTAATGAGAGTAATAAAGAGTGGAAAGATTTGAAGTATTTTAGCATGAATAGCTACGAGAGTGAAATGGAGCTTGAAAAACTCTGCTTATTCAAAAGTTCAAGGAAAAATATTAATGGAGACCATGATATGATTATTGAGAAGTAAGGTGATGATCAATGGTCTCTGATCTCAAGTCACGAATTTCAGGATCTGCTTGCACCTTTTGATAAGACTGAGGACTTTTCAACTGCATCTATTCTTAAAAATAAGGGAAGCAATTTAACGATTGAGGTACTAGCACAGCTGAGCCCAATTAAAATGCTGGAATTGATAATGAAAAAGGCAGGCATAATAGACTTGGAAAGATTAGTAAGAATAATGCTTGCTGCTTGTAAACTTGCCAATATTGATATGCTCCCTTAGGATCAATTGATAGACTTGCTTGTGAATAAGTATTGCTATATTGAAAAAGATTATTGAATGCTAATACTAAAGAGCGATCACATGTACGACTTTACTGTCGACAAAAGAAAAGTAGCTCTAAGAGAATACCTCATTAATCAAATCTATCGTAATGGGCAAATTACTCTGGACTAGATAAAAAAGGAGACAAAGACTCAATTTGGTGAATTAAAATTGCACATATAGGAAGTTACAAATTCACTAAATGAAATCTTGACTTTCAAGAATTATGGCAATTCTAAATTGCATGAATATTTGAAACCGAAGCACAACAAGCAAATAAAGGAATCTTGGGACAAACTTGAACACGAATGTAAGAAGTACTAAGAGCTTAAGTTCTACAGAGACTAGGCAGATTAGAAACTCCCAGAGCAGCTGATCTCGACTAAGCAAGAATAATAAATGAAGAAGCAAATGTTCTAGCTGATAGAATGTCTGGTCAAACATTTTACAGAGAATAAGGTCAGCAACTACCCCAAGCTAATTACCTCAATAAAGGATAGCAAGATCACAGTGCAAGATTAGGATCAGTTTAATAATATATTGGTAGAGTACACAGTATCAATGGGGGATAGAATATTCCTTAGAAAGCTTGAAAATGAGTAGGAGCAGCAGGTGAGAGACATTATTATTTAGCTCTTCTCTCTTAAGCAATAATACAAGAAGCCTGACTTCAAAAAGCAAGTCAATGAGAGACTGCAGCAGACTGACTTGACAGACAAGGAATTGTAAAAATTAATAGGATATTATACCACTACTCAAGGGAATATGATCACAATGATTTAGCCATGAATGAAGGAGACTTGATTGTGAATGATGAAAGATAGAGGGATTAACGAGATGACCTTTAATTAAGTATTTAAGTTTAGTAATTATTAATCACTACTTGGGACTTAATCAATAATCTTCATTACTTTTCAATAATAGCAATTTCACCTCCATCTCTGATTGAATAGAAGGACAACTATCTTAGGTCTTCGTCTAGTTCATAGGGTTCACATGACTCTTCCTTGTAAATGAGAGACTATCTAATGACCTCTATCTTGAATAATTTAGCGCACATAGCTTTAAGTGCGCCCACAGTCATTGAAGTAATAAGTTTTTTCTCAAGTGTTTTGCCGTTTGTTGAAGTACATTAAGAAATGAGTTTTATCTTAGCACTAGTTGAAGCAATATTCTTAGCGTCTTACTTGAGGGACACCATATCGATTGGGTTTCCATATATTTCTACAAGCTCATACCAACGAGGTTAATTTTCCATCATATGTTTCATTAAATTTTCATCATTTAGTTCCAGCTTAACTTCAATCTTGTTTTCTCTGATGTAGTCTTCATAAGATTTCTTCATATATATAATTTCAGCGTCTTTCCTTTCTCCTTCCTCAATTGCACTACCGTTCAGATTCTTTAGGAATTAGAGTCTCGCTGTTACTTATTATCTAGAAAGAGTGCCTGCCTATTCATAGATGGGATTGCCACTGCACCTCAAATGAGTGATCCTCTTGAATTCATTAAGAGCATCAAAAGATCTCCAGCTGTTTATCAAGTTGTCCTCCATTGTTACCATGTAAAGATCATTAAAGCCAGGTTTATAATAAATCTCTCTGATCTTGTTCTTGCTTACTGTGATTCTTCTTAAACCAGGGAGGTTTCTGAATCCTACTATTTCATCCCAAGATTCAATCCCATTCTACTCTAAGTTTATAAACCTGAGATTCTTAAAATGCTCCTTGCTAATCTGGTACTCGCTACATATCTTATTACATTGACTTCTAACTAGGTGAAGCTCTTCTATGTATATCATAGTAGGGGCTAGTGCATCAATCTAACTCCAATCCAAAGCCATATCTATCAGGACTAATTCGTGAAGGAATGGGTTAATCATCTCCTCTACCTTTTTATCAGCCAAGTAATTCTTGTCAATTCTTTTGAACTTATTGCCAGTCAAAACAAGAATCCTTAAGTATCTCAACTCTCTAGTTATCTAGAAATACTAATCCCATGAATGAAGTAGATTTTTGTCAAGGTAGAGATACATAGTTGAGGGAATTAAACTATTCAGAGTTCCTCTTGGACCTAAGTCTGATATTTTTAAACATTCCAAAGCAATTTCATAGTTCTATCTCACATCTGATCTCCATTGATAAGATTGATCTTACCCCAAGACCTCAATCTTCTTTCTACCCTTCATATCAGTGTTAACATAGATCTCTTCGTTCTCATTTTATTTCAATTTTTCCTTCTCTTCTTCAGTCATCATATCATCTGGCCTATATTTTTCAACAATTGCCTGCCTTATATCAGTACCCCCAATTTGAATTTTTCCATATCTAATAAAGGAGCAGCATTAAGTCTACTATCCTTCATAGTTTGGTGATAGTTTATGGAATTCACAAAAGAAGTATTAGACACCATCCACATTTCCCATATGCTTTCCGTGACCTTCTTCATCCCATTCTATTCCCAACCAAATATCATTTCCTGCCTTTGGATTGTTGATCAACTTTCCTGCATATCTAATACTTCCAACATTTTGCTTTAAGATGACTCTTTATCCCACTAAGTCTTCATAGCCTGGTTCTGATTGAATTTCAGCCTCAATATTTTGATCAATCATTGTTTCATTCTTTTCCACCTCCTAAGATATAACTTAATCCTCCATTTTAAAATCAAATTTTCAAAAATCTTTTAATTCTTACCAAAACTTATTCAACTTTATTTCTTAAGTGCGGGGTTTTGGGGTTTTGGGGTTTTGGGG